TAGAGCGGTGGAAAATACTAAGTTGCCTATATGCGAACTTCTTATTCCTAGTTGGTGGAGGGTGTGGAGGGAAGACAACATGTTTAGGGAATGCTCCTGCAACTGGTAGAAAATATTCTATTTGTAATTTTAGCCATTGATCTTAATGTTTTAATTACAGGTACAATGACCATGTGTCTTGTGTATTAAATTAAAATTGGAATTTATAATGCAAAATTTAATAAAAGTATGTATTAGTTTTATATACAGCATTAATAGACTAAAAGATTTGACCGATTTATAAATAACCTTGAAGAAAACAATTTTTACTTTGATATAGGACGTTATGATAATAAGAAAATTGAATATATCTTTTTAAAAAATAATTCCAAACATTTTAACATGAAATATTTTTAATTAAATTTTTGACTATATTTATTGCTTAAAAAAGTAAAGATTATTTTAAAATAATCATTTCAAATTAAATAAAATTTGTGGTAAAATATATAAATTAAATTAGTATATATTTAATTCAAAAATCTTGTATCAAGTTCTTGTATCAAATAAGATTCTATTACATTTAATTTGTATGTAATTTACATTTAATTTGTTACATTTAATTTGTATATAAAAATATAATAAAATTAATTATATATAATATTTATTTAAAATAAATTGCTTTATTTAAAATATATCTAAATTATCATACTAAAGACCAATACGTCAACGTTCTTAGAAATTGGAACCAAAATAGATTTCGAAGCAAAATACGGCACTCAAATAATTTTAAATGGGTGATCAACGATGTGATTGCTTATCGTATCGATCTTGGGTAATAATTTATTAATTACAATAATGGAAATTATAAAGAAGAAAATGCTAAAATGTCATTTAAAAAAGTATTAAGTTTAAAATTTATAAAATGTTAATTTTTTTATTAAAAAGAAATTTTTCTAATTTAAAATTTAAATTATTCAAATTTTCGAAAAGTTTAAGGTTCTTTTAGAAAAGTTCTTTTAGAAAAGTTTAAGGAGCGGTCGTTTCCCCTTCCACTCCCCATTTTTATTCACATTTTATTTAATTAAATAAACGTTTAAAAAGTAATAGTAAATTTATTAGTCAAAAATTAAGAATAAAAATCTTTGTATAATTTAAAATATTTAAAAACTAGAAAAAACTTATTCTACACGTTAAATGGAATGATCTCAAACAAATTTTAATTCGTCTAATTATTGAAAAATTCGGTATCAAATTTGTTTTCTAAAAAACTATAGATTGTATTTTCCACGTTTCAGTACAAAGTTTGAGTATAAACTAAATTTCAACAATAAAGTTGAAAAAATATAATTTTGATTTATTTCTAATTATAATTTTAAAAAGAATCCCAAATATATCATTAATATAACTAAAGTAAAAATTGAAAATTTAGTTGGTTTTAAAGCTAATGTAAAAAAATTATCATGATAATAAAGCAATTAATTCAAAATTGACAAAATTTATCAATAAATTAAAATTGTGTGTAATAGATTTTATATTCTCCTTTGATATCTTGACCTAATGACACATATTTTCTTTCTTTAAAAAAAGACCTTCGAGGGTAATAATTTATAGAATACTACTAAATTTTAAAAATAATTTTAACGAAATTAATTTAAAAAGAAATTTAAATAAAATTGTGAACAAAATTATTAGTTATATCAATGACTCGATGTAAAAATATATATACATATTAATATGTCAGTTTATAAATGAGAGATGGAAGAAAATAGTCTTGATAATCTCCTTTAATAATTTGACTCAATGCACAATTATCAAACAAAGAGCGATCAGTTGGACTAACATATTAAACGATCCATTCACTGAATACAGTCAAGAGCTTCTCAATCTCGAAAGAAGACTGGTGGAAATTTATCAGGCTATTTTTTTAAACACACTTATCTTTTTAAAAAAATATATTCTCTTTTTACAAAAAATAAAAAAATATATATTTGAATATATTAAAAAATTTGTATATTTAAAACCCAAATATATCATTAATATAACTAAAGTAAAAATTGAAAATTTAGTTGGTTTTAAAGCTAATGTAAAAAAATTATCATGATAATAAAGCAATTAATTCAAAATTGACAAAATTTATCAATAAATTAAAATTGTGTGTAATAGATTTTATATTCTCCTTTGATATCTTGACCTAATGACACATATTTTCTTTCTTTAAAAAAAGACCTTTGAGAGTAATAATTTATATTATACTACTAAATTTTAAAAATAATTTTAATTTAAATAAATTTAAAAAGAAATTTAAATTCCATTTTTTTAAAAAAGATTATTTATCAATAAAAGATTATATATAAAATAAAAGATTATTTATTGTTTTAAAAAGACTAAGCAAAAACATATACATATTAATATGTCAGAGTTAATGAATGAGAAAAGAAGAAAATAGTCTTCATTGAGATGAGAAAAACAGACCTTCTTCTAAGTTTAATAACAAGTTATTTTTCACGTGAAGCAAATATATCAATTATTTGTTAATTAATATCATAGGCTCCGCCCCTTTTTACTAGATGGCTGTTCGGAATAAGCCACACCCAGGTAGACCTGCCAGTCTCTTATTTAAATCCTTTTTTCGGAGAATTTTATTATTAATTCATTAGTTATTATTGTTCTCAATACTCTTCTCCATTTTCGGTCCTTGCAATTATTTGTTAATTAATATATTTTGCTGAACTATAATATTTGTGCGCTTAATTATTTTAATACTACTTGACTGCAATAAATTTAATTTGTTTCGCAACCAACTATGTTTAATTTATGTGTCTTTTCCACGAGAGTTGGTAACATAATAATTGAAATTTATTTTGTTAAGACTTTTGTTTAAAGAATTACTTATTTAAACACAATTATCTTAATAATGCGGGAAAAAGAATATAAATCAATATAAAAAATTGATTCAGCGTTAAAAAACCGAGATATATTGTAGTAGAATTTTTGAACACTTCAATAACGAATATATTTTTCAGAACATTTTGACCATAAATTAGAATAATAGCAATAAAATTTTTAAAGAAAAATATACATGCAAAATATTCTTATATATCAAACGATTCTTCCATAAGAAGAATCGTTTTACGCATTTGAAGAAATATTGGAAAATTGTATGGCACCTCGTTCCTCAAAATCAACAACCGCGGCTACTACTAATATTATATTTATAATTCTAAAATAATAAAATTACCTTCAATATGAAAATAAAAAAGGTTATTCGTTATTATTTGCAATTCCTACAAATTTTAGAGAATGAAAAAGAATTAAATTGTTATACTTTTTCTTAAAAAGTTGTAAAAAATTATAAGTAAACGCAGAAAAATATATTTTTTATATTAAATATATTTTTTTATATAAAAATATTTAAACAAAAAAATACAGTTGCGAATCAAATAAAAATTTATTGCAGTCAAGTAGTATCAAAATAAGTAAGCGCACAAATATTATAGTTTAGCAAAATATATTAATTAAAAATAATTGCAAGGACCGAAAATGGAGAAGAGTATTGAGAACAATAATAACTAATGAATTAATAATAAAATTCTCCGAAAAAAGGATTTAAATAAGAGACTGGCAGGTCTACCTGGGTGTGGCTTATTCGAAACAGCCATCTAGTAAAAAGGGGCGGAACCTATGATATTAATTAACAAATAATTGATATATTTGCTTCACGTGAAAAATGACTTGTTATTAAACTTAGAAGATAACACTTGTTTCGAAGCCGAGTTCGTAAAGAGACTGCGGGGCGTCCGCAAGAACCCCCGCCTCGACCCACACCTGTGAGTGGAAGCCATTCCACTTAATCAACACTTCAGTCAATTCACCATCATCATTAACCTTCTTATCAAATGGTCCTGTAAACCCCCAAAAAGCTTTTCCATCTATTACAGAATCCGGTACAATCGTATCCTGAATTTATAAAAATTTTAAAATTAAATAATTAGAATTTTTTAACTAAAATTTTTTTAATTTCTGAGCATTATCAGCTATTAAATTATAATCAATCCGACCCGCGCCAAAGGCTCGTAATCAGAAATGATTAATAATTTAATAACTAAATATGCAAAAAAAGAATAGGAATTTGAGGGACAATTTGAAGTTGAGGGATTAAAAGTTGAAGGAGCAGAAGAAGTTGAAGGAGGAGCAGAAGTTGAAGGAGGAGCAGAAAGATCACGAAAAATTTGTTCGACTAAAAATAGTTTATAATTTTGGTATTAATATAGAATAAGATAATTGACAATACCAGTAGATATTAAAGCAGGATTTGGCAAAACTAATAAATAAAAATTTTAGAAATATAAACAAATATAATTGTTCAAACCTGAAGAAGAGGAGGAAGAAGAATTTTTTGGTAAATCTAATAAATAAAAATTTTAGGTATATAAACAAATATAATTGGAATTACCATAATTAGCATTTGATGGAGGATTTTGTTTTTGTTTTGTTGTTTTGTTTGGGTTTGTTTGTTTTATTGTTTTGGGGTTGGTAAGTCGAACTAAACAATTAAAATTTCAGATTTCATACAAAAAAATTACCCGGCAATGGTTTGCGTTTTATTTTTGGCCTGTCTGCTTTTAATAATTTACGTGCACCTTAAATAATTAGGTTTTTTTTCAAATAAAAATAAAATTACTTCTGATAATAATGGAAAAGCTTACACGGGGTTTCTTAACAATAGGAGGTGTATCTTCAACTTAAATCACAATTCATAAAAATAAAAACAAAAAAAACAAACTTTCTCCGTCTGTTGAGTCCACTTCCAGTAGTTCTTCATCCTCTCCAAAAAAGTTCTCATCACTGTATGTCAAGTAGAAGATGAAATCCTCTTCGTGATGATGCTATTATTTTAAAAATTTTATACCAACAAAGATCAGGGATTGACCGGGTTACGCTTACTTTATACTAGTAGTAACACGCTTATAAAATATTAAGAACCTTGTCACCGTTTTGTAATTTTTTGAAAAATAAAATTTTTAAAGACCTGATACAGTTGCCCCATTGTAGTCATAGTCTGTAAAATTGGGGATCTGAAATGTAAAATTAAAAAAAATAACTTGCGGTATAAGAGAGTTAACAAAGAAGAATAGCATTTGTTCAGGACGAAGATGAATCCTTCAATAAAAAAATTTTCAATTGTGTAAAAGTTAGAAGGATGATAATATTTAGTTTGGCCCGTATAGTTTTGTATTCCCTCTGTATAAAACACTCATTACCCAAATATTTAATAAGCCCAAAAAAATTTTGTAGTAAACTAACCTTTTATGGATTAAGAAGTAAAATTGTCCAACAGTAAGCTCTGAAGGAACCAGGTACTTTTTCTTATCCAAATCACGTAAACGAGACTTCGGCGACTCGATTTTAAAATGTTTTTTGAAAAAATTTAAAAAAAACCTTCTCAACAATAACAGGAACCCGATTGGTAAATTTACGTTTAATCTTCTCGACCACAGCACGGCGCTTCTCAAACTTATTTTCCTTCCAGTTCATACTTTTAAACATAATTTTAAATAAAATTAATAAAATTGTAAAAGCGATCATCTATAAATAAAAAATGTTTAAAAATATTGGATAAAACTGAAAAATTGGGAAAAAATAACTGCCGTTAAAAAAGTAATCAATAGAAGAGAAAACGGACAAGAAAGAATCAATAAATGACCATTTACTCTTGGTTTTTAGCGTTGAGTCTCATCGATTGAGTCCACACTGTTTTTTAAACATTTTCGCCAATGTACATTTGAGTCTTACCATTTTTTACTCGCCAAAAGAAAATTAGCAATTTGTACTTATTAGTTAAAGCGGAGGGGAAAAAAACTAAAAGAAGGCATCGTCATTTACAAAGAGAAGGCATCGTCATTTCAGGCATCGTCAAAGATGCCTGAAATGAGCTATGGAAATTATGAATTTAAATTAAAAATATTTATAAAATATAAGCAAAAATAATTATGAGAAATAAATTTATTAAAAATTATATCATCACAAAATACATAAATTTTAGATTTAGTATACATATTTCGTTAATAAATAAAGCATTAAATTTAATTTTTAAAATATAATTTTGCTAAAATCATATAATTATAATAATAAATTTAATGAAGGCTTTGTGTGAATAAAGAAAATGTTAAAAATATTTATTAGTTTTTAAGATTTAAAAGGAAACTTAAATAGCTAATCTGACTTAAAAACTTTTAATGGTATTTAGAGTAAAATTACAACTATTTATTATTACAATTGCTTAGGCATATATTTTAGAAATAAATTGGTTTACTACAATATACATAATTTAACTATTTAAGATAAATTTAAATATAAAGCTAGCAACGGACTCAGAAAAGAGTATTTGCAGCAGGTCAATGAGAAAAATATTTAATTTATTAAGTAATATTTAAATTATTAAGTATTAATTGAACAAATTATGTTATATAAATATTCGAAAAATTTATAAATTAATTATTAAATTTTATTGAAAAAATATGAGAAAGTAGAAAATAATTAAAAAATTACAAATTGATAAAAAAATACATTTATTACGTTAATTGTTCTAATACAAGCACATGCCAATCCGAGACAAAATTGAACACCTTTTTTGTTTTATTTAAAAATAAAAATGAAGCTAGTAAAATCAAGTAAGTTATAAGAGAATGGTAGATTTAAATAAAATTAACAATTGTGTAATTTTACACAGCTAATCAATTTTCAATTAAATAATTCTAAACAGTTTATTAAATAACAGAGTTGACTTAAAACTTCAAAGATATTTAAAGTAAAATTAAAAATATTATTATAATTGTTTCGACATGATATGATAGAAATAAGTTTGTTCCCTACAATGTAATATAAATATTTAAGGATAATATAAATATTAAAGAAATGTGTACAAAGCTAGCAAAAAACTATTGTTGCAGGACAACGATACAAATATGAATAAATTAAAATAATATAAATTGTATATTAATTGTAAAATAATGTTATTTATGTATTCGAAAAATTTATAAATTATTTACTAAATTTTCTAGACAAAATAATGAGAAGAGTTTAATTATTAAGCTATCTATATAAAAATAAAAAAAATTAAAAGTGTTTATTATGTTTTTACGAAATACATAGTTAATTAATATTTAAAAATAAAAATCTTCCTCAATAATATAAATGTTTAAAACGAGATTAGAATATAAAATTACAAATAAAGTTGAAATAAAATTATATCGGTCAAAAAGCTGTAGTATTCAGTTATGACTACTATACATAAAGTTATATAAGTAATATATGTTAAAAAATAATAAATTCAACAAGATTTTCAAGCCTTCTTTGGCCAATTATCCTTTTTTATAAAATAAATTAATAAAAATCTATTGTTTATTCATATATGTATTACATATATAATAAAAAGATACAATTTTTAACTTAAATTACAATTTTCAAAAATTTAATTGTATAATAAAAAATATTAATATTATAATTTTCAAAATTCTTCAAATAACAAAGAAAATATTTAAATTTTTAAAGAATTACAAAAAGTTCACAAATAAAACAAGTTTCTCATCACTTTTATAAATAAATTTAACTCTTCTTTAAAAAATAAATTTGTTGTGCAAAAGCACTTGCTTATTTTGTTTGTGTTTGACAAGGAAAAATAAAGCCAAGCCTACTATGCTTAGGTCAAATAAACTGAATGGGTAAAAATTTAAATTCAGTAAAATAATTAACTACAAAATTGTATTAAATAATGAATAAATTAATTTAAGATGTTAACCTCTCTGCCAGTCAGCCTGATCTGCTTTTATTAGATATTTTTAGTTAATGTAATTATTTTCTATCTTTTCTAAATAAACATAAATAATAAATTAATTTAAGATGTTAGCCTCTCTGCCAGTCACCATGATCAGCTTTTATCTATGTAGATATTTTTAGTTAATGTAATTATTTGCTATCTTTTCTAAAAAAATAAAATAATATATTTAAATAAATAATTGTGAAAAAAATTATTAGAATTTATTTGATTATTCTCATTCAATTTATAGAAATGTTATAAATTACTACGTATCAATCGGTACATTATTAAAGCTAGCTAAACAAATAAATTTATCTATTAAAAAATTATCATAAATTATTTCCTAATATCAAAATTTAATAAAATTTTAAATATTGAAATAAAGCAAATTTTAAATTATAGCTAATAACGTTATAAGTAATTTTTTGATAAAAAAATGTTGTCAAACAATACAGCAATTTACCAGAATTTCCTCAACAATCTTGCAATATTCCAGCACTCAAAAATTTGTCCATTTAATAATTTAATAAAAAATATTAAATATTTGTATAAATAGTATTTGCTTTAAAATTCAATTAAAAATTATTGTAATTCTATTTAGATAAATACATTTTAAATTAGAGATCGGAACGGGATCGGGACCCGGTCCCGTTTCCCGGTTTCCCGGTCCTTTTTCCCGGCTTTTTTGAAGATGCCGGGATGAAACCGGGATCGGGAATTCCCGGTTTTCCCGGTCCGGGTCCCGGCCGGTTAATTTTCATTTCCCGTTTCCCGTTCCCGATCCCGGCTTTTTTTGGACCGGGAAACCGGGAAAAATTCTAGCAGCTAATTTTAAATATTTTTGCTTGGCGTTTTGATTTTTGACTTAAAAATATTGGAGATCTTACAAAAATTCTCAAAATTTTCGCCTGCGGCGCTGAAAACGGAAGAAATTTGGCAGTTTGGCCTTCCAAAATTCTCAGAATTTTCGCGGAAGAATTTGGAATGGAGAAATTTGGAGATATTATTGTAGGAAAAGTTGAGGGAAGTTAGTGTATTAAGTCATCTTTATCCCTCTAAATCCATTAGATCTGCCTTAATCATCTGATAACATTGCCTTCCATTTGAAGGGATTTGAAAAGATATCAGGTGATATAGGTGGTTGGAGGTCTTTCTCCACAATCTCTCTCAATGCTACCCAACAAATACTTGAATCTCTCGATGTCTCTTTTAATCACTGATATCACTATTGCACAGAGAAGATCAGAGTGGATTTGGAGGGATTAAATAAAAATTAAATTAAATAAAAATTAAATCAGCATCAAGGTGGATTAGGAGGAATTAAAGGGAATCAGATGAGGAATACATATAGGCGATATAAAAAATTAGGGGAGGCTATCGGGAGATCCTCAACTCGAAAATCTCCTAATATCCCACAATCCTTCTCTAGCCTCTCAAATCCCTTCAGCCCTACGTAATCCGCTTTATGTTTTAATTTATTGTAATTTACATTTGTTTTATTGATTTATTTTACTGATTTATTAAATTCTTCTATTTATAAATCAGATTTTTCAATAAATAACTACTCCCACAACTTTTTAAAATTTTTAAATGGATTTAAAATTTTTTTTTAATTTCCCGGTTTCCCGGTCCGGGTCCCGGTCATTTTTGACCGGGATGAAACCGGGAACGGGAATTCCCGGTTTTCCCGGTCCGGGTCCCTCCCGGTCGACCTTCAGAACCCGTTTCCCGTTTCCCGGTCCCGGTTTTTTCAAAATTCCGATCTCTATTTTAAATCAAAGTTTAGAGTCTCATTTTATTTCTATTGATTTGTATGGAAGTCAAAGTTAAATATAATAAAATGAAATTAATTTAAATAAGTAAAATATGAGTTTATTTTTTAATCAAAAATCTAAATTAGCATAAAATATATTCGAATATTACTTTTCTGTTAAAAAACGATCAAGATAATATTAATAAGTTTAAACATAATATTTGATTAAACAGAAAAATTAAAAGTTAAAATTTTAAGAAGGGATACAAAGAAGAACTTTTCAACGTGTTCAATCTGTTTATAATTCAGGGTTAAAGTGAAATTAGAAAAGAAAAGGGCAAGAACTAAAGAAAAAAAAGATAAAGATTATTAAATTTTTTTAATCACTTTATTGTATTAAATTAATCAGACACATGAACAATAAATTTTAAATAAAAAATTATTTGATGGAAATAAAAAAATAAAACAACAAAAAAAGTAATGAACAGCAAATTGTCAAATGTTATGAAAAAAATAAATTAGAAATTTCGTTAAATTAAATTGAATTTGCGTGCTAACGCTAAATTCTTATCAGAGAAAACTCATCATTCTTTATAAATTTATTAATAAATTATTTTAATTAAAGTATGTGTTAAATTATGTAAAGTATTGCAGAAGACTTGGGTTCAAAATAAAATTTTTATGAATAGATTCTGATACTCCGGGTCAACACTTGGTAAACTTTCATAAATTTTAATAAAATCCATAATACATTATTTCGATTTATTTAATTAGAGGAGTCTCGACGCTAACGGATTTAAAATACGTCGGTGTAACCAGAAAAATACATGAACGTTTCAGATTACATAAACATACAAAAACATTTAAAAATATACAGAATGCGGAACTTTAATACAAAATTTATCCTTAAAAAATGAAAAGTTTTTGGGTAAAATTTTCACGTCTCCTTTATAACTAACATTTAAGAAGGTATATGCT